TTTTTTTGGGCAAAATATTTTAAATTTAAGTTATTAATAAAAAATGTATGTTTGAGTAAAAAGGGCAAAAAAATTAAATTTTTTCCCCCTTTTTACAACTGAATAAAAAATAAAATTTTTTCACTTGTCGAAATTTGATGATCCACTCAGTTGCTATGTATGAGTTATCAAATTGTTCGTATAAATTTAAAATTAACGAACTCTGCAACTAAGAAAACATGATCTTGTTTTTATGATATATTTAAAAGATGGCGAAAAAAAGTTTTTAGATCTTGAATGAAAAAGCTTATACTGGACTTAAAGACCATTAAAACAATTAAAATTTATGTTGAAACTGAATTATCGGATTCTTGGGGAAAAAAATTTGAAAAAAAAATATAAAAAAATTTTTAATACTTAAAAAATAAAAAAAATATTTGAATCAGATTATAAGGCAATTGGGCGTTCCACATAAATCTAATCAAACAGTATCAAAGCATTTTGGTAAGAAAATGAAATGAAAGTCGTATTATAACTATTTTTTCCTTAATTCTTTTTTTCTTCAAAAAAGAAATTAATAACGTACCATTTTTAAAATCCTTCAATAATCTTTATCGAGTGTGGTGTGGAGTACTCATAAAGCATAGTTCTCATCACAAAAAGAAATGTTTTCAGTGCTTTGGGATTTATTTAAATTCAAATAGCATAAAAATTCTCCGAAAGAACAAAGAAATTTCGAATTTCGAATAACGAGTCCAACTTCTGAAAATGAAGCGAACGACAGAGTTTGAAACAAATAAAAATAGATTACATTTACTGTGCGATCTTATTGTAAGTGGAAGAAAAAAGCCAATTTTTAAGTATAAACTCTCGAGATTTCAATTCGAAAATCTGTAGCGGAACAAATCAAGTTTTGTAAATAGACTGATTGCTCGTATTTAATCACGAGCGAAAAACATTTTTGATAAATTCTGAATCCATCCCAGAGGGATAAGTCTTCTAATAACAAAACTCTACAGTTCCTGCCTACTCATCCAGCTTTATCATCTTTTAGAGTTTTCCATCTGTAGAAAAGTAAGTTCTGCTGAGTGATAGAAGCACACCATTGACTGTGCTTTAGATTTGGAAATTGCCAAGAGAAATCATTTAATATTAAGAGAAATTCTCTTCTTAATCTGTTTCTTTAGACGCAAAAGTTTGATCTGTGACACGTGCATTATTAATCTGTATTCATTCTGAACTCCGAGAATGAGGTCTCTGGAGTTGAAAAAACGAATCAACTCTCTGTAGAATTCTAGGCATTATCAATATCAACTTTGAATGAATTGGAATTCTACAATTTGAATTACTTTAATTTGCTATGACCGGGAAGTTCGCAGTCCCTACGGCACGCGCTGATTTTAGTGGTTCGAGAAAAAGATAGGAAATCGAGATTAATTGCATATTTCTAAGTGAAGTCTTTTAAATCTATTTCCTATAGTATTTCGTTATTCTTAATCCATTTTCATTGCGTCAGAGACTGAATGAACTTGAAACTAAACTTTGAAGTAAAATGTCATGAAATATATAAGCTGTCTGATTGGCAGAAATGGCGAGCGTATACATAATGGAAAAGAGAACATACCTTCTTTTGTTTTTTAATTGTGTTTGGGCTTAGGGTAGCGTTTCTCAAACTGTGGGGCATGCCCCCCAATGATATGTGATAACCCTATGTGGGAGGTGAGAGCATATCGAAAAGTCGAAAATAAAACATTTAAAAAATTATTAATTTACTGAAAAAAGACAAAACGAAATACTTTAAGACATATTTACTCTGATATAATATACTTATAAATGTTTCAGTACCGCACAAGGTATTTGATAATTAATTAATCGATACTAAGATAAGAACAAATTTAATAATTACTACTGACTTCCATAGGCTTGTCATACACAAAATTTAATACTTATCTCGATAATTTGTACGGTTTATAATTAAAGTTGTATTGTAGCTTTAGCGTCATCATCATTGTCTTCAATACATTGTTATTGAACAGGAGAGGGACGCGGTGAAAATTATGATTAGAAAATTGGATCACAAACATTGAAAGTTTGAGAAGCATTAGCTTATGGTATTGGTTGAAGATAAAATAATGTATAACAGAAAACTAGAGATGCCCACATATGTACAGAATGTGCTTCCTTTTTCCGAATTCTATCTTAGAAAATCCAATATTGTCGGTAACATTTTTTTTCAAGTATTTTGACCTTGTACAAAACTTAATTTTTAAATATTATTTTGTTTGATCGTATTTTTACTGATTATCTGATTATTATATTTATTTTTCAAATTTTTCCCAAATTTCTCTCTAAATTCCCTTTTTATGGCAGGGGTTTCCCTCAAATTTTCTATTTTTGCCCCAAATTTTTAACCCAAATTTTTCCCAAGCCCCCCCTTCCCCATACAATAATAAATTGAATTCAATAACATATTTTTGACGAAAAAAGCCACAAAAACGTTTTTAAATTTTTTAACCCGGGGAATTATCAAAATAAGTATTAAATTTTGTATACAATTTTATGACATGCCCATAGGGTGCTGGTAGTTATTAAACTTGTTCTTAACTTAGTACTCTTAAATTAATTATGAAGCACATTGTCCAGTAATAAAACATTTATAAGTATATTATATTAGTGTAAATGTGTATTTTATTTTTTATTATGTCAGAGCTCCTTCCGCATTAGCTTCCTTTCAGTAAATAAAATGTTTTTTAAATCTTTTTACTTCGACTTTTCGATATACTCGTGCCCCCCGTGGGGGTTTTCCCCCCCCTAGGGGGGTGGGCTATTTGGAAAAAACTGCTTTATGGACTAAGGTAGTTTGGGGGCCCCGGGGAAAAAGGGTGGTCCCGGGTTTTTAAATTGGGGGCCCATAGTGCTCCCGTCGAGACATGGGGAAAGAAACCCGCCTTGCCGGCGTTTTGGGGAAAAAAATTTAAAATGGGTAGCGTAAGAGTTAAGAAAATAAAAAAAATTTGGGTTTGTTAAATTTTCAAATAAATTTAAATTTCATTTTCCTACATTTAAAAAATTTTTTCCTATATGAATTTTTTAATACTACAGAAAAGAATTAAAGGGGGGAGGCCTTGGTGCTTCAAACGGACTGTCCTTCCATTCCACGGTCTTGGGGTGGGGGGTGGTTTTCTCTCTTACTCTCACATTGCACTCGGGGGTTTCGGCTCGTGGCTGGAGTGGTGTTCTCACGGCCATCGGTTGTCGGAGCGATATCAGATGAAGAACCTCACAGTACCTTTGGGGTGCATGTGTGCATATGAACGGTGTTATACTAACCAAATAAAGATTCCGATTTTGCAGCTGCATGGCGCAAACGTTTTACCTTGTAGAGAGGTTGAGACACCTTAAATCTATCGAGGCATAAAGTCTTTACGATGGTGTGGTGTGGAAGTTTCGGTGTTAGCTCAGGTGTCAGTCTTGTCACTTGACTGTGGCTCAAAGTCATGAGCTCCATCGTGCCGGTAGATGGTGTGTAGCCTCTAAATACTTTAACAAACAATCAGTCAACTCCCACGAATTTCTTACTCTTTTGTCTAAATTTTCACAACCATGTTTTTATAGTAGAATATAATTCAGTAAAACAGATGACATATACAAACAATAAGTTTTTTTGCTTGACTTTGTGATGGGCTCATCACGTTTTCTACTAAAATCTCCTCTTGGGTTCTTTGGGGCCGAAAAAGGCAAATTCTTTCCAACCAAATCCAGTAGCGAAACGTGAACATGCAAATTAGAAACCTTTTAAATAGCAGAAGTTTAACAAGGGTATGACCTATTGGGAAGTGATTATGCTAGTCTGGTTTATAAGCGCGTGAACTGAAGGAAGAGAAGAAACCCGTCGTTGAGTGTGACAGAACGATCAAGTCAAGGTGGATCCAATTCCACGCAAGATAAAAGATATTTAGGATCCGAGAGGATTGCGGCTAAACAAGAGATTAAGTTAGGATAATTCTAGTATTAATTAGTTACTGTGATATAAACAGAGATTAGGTATAGAAGGGAAAGTTAAATATAGTGGTTAAGATAGTGCTTATTTGGTAATACGTATTGTGTGTTTTCTCACCTCAGATCCGCTAAGTTATAATATAAATATTATCATTGTTAGTGTTTAAGTTAAGATTTTAATAAAGACATTTTAAGATCATGACAACGCCTGGTTCTTCATTCAATCCCACACCTCTAGGTCACGAAGATAACTTAAGCGTAAGGTATCACCCACGGGGGTATACTTCACAATTTTTTAACAACATATTGTTACGGCATTGTATATTCATAAAAAATAGAGTTTTGTTATACCATTTCGATTAATATTACAAATTCTGTACTCGTAAAAAAAGTTTGAATAATGAGTGAGTGAGTGCTTATTAACGTCCACTACCAAACAACACAATAGCTGTTGAATGGTTGGTTAGAATTTAAAGCCTTAGTTAATTGTGCTATAGTTTTAATTTTGCACTTATAATTAACATTACATTTTAATAAATGCCATTTTCAGTAAATGATATCATTATGGAAGTGTTATCACGTATTATTAATATCAGAAAGAACTGCGAAAACCTATCAGAAAAATTTCTGTAAAAATAGTTAAAAAAATAATAAACATTAAACTACTGAAATACCTTTAATTTTAAATTAAAGTTATTCAAAGATTACATTTATTAACAAATAAAATAACTAAAAGGGAACATTTATTTTCTATTTCAATTCCTACAATCAGTTCACTCTCTCCCTATAAATATTTATTTATAAACATATATATCTTGTTCAAATTTTCAATCACTAATAAAATACTTTCTATTCATCCATTCAAGCTCAAATACATTTTTTTAAACTTGTAGTGGATGATACTTGATGTTAATGCAGTTTTTTCAAATATTAATTCATTAAATAAATTTAAAAAATGAATAAAAATGGAAACAAACAAAAATGATAGCCCAACACCATATATAGAAAGGAAAATTGCCCGCTGTTCCTGTAGCACAATGGATAGTGCGTTGGACTCCTAATTCAAAGTTCGTGGTTTCTCATCCCACCTGGGCAGGCCGGATTTTCGAGAAAGTGATTTTTTTTTACTATACTATTTTATTAGAATAATTAAATGTAATTGATGGATTAAAATTGTATAACAAACAAACAAAAAATAGTCAAACGCCCTATATAGAGGGGAAATGGAAAATTGTGTAAGGAAAATCGCTTTTTATTTGGTCACATAATATTATGATTCTGTGTCATATGTATATATATATTTATATTAATTGTAACTATTTAATAAAAAGTAATTAAAATAAAATTTTTCATTGGTGACCTAAGTAGGAATTGACTTTAACTTTTTTTATATTACTTGTTTAAAATGTTTCTTTACTTACAATATAAGGATGCTGAGTCCAAGTCCATTATTACAAACACATAATTAAAGGATGATTAAACTTTAAAAATAAGGGAACATCAGTTTAGAAATTAAAAAAAAGCAAAAGAAATTTTTTAATTATTACCAATTATATTTTTTTTCCAATTTTACATTTACTCATTTTTAATTAATGGAAAAATAAAATTGCGCTGTCCATAGCACTTTTCCATAGTTAAATTTTATTAAAATTGCATTCATAAATTTAAGAAATTGAAGACACTGAAAATTCACATTTTAAGATAGTGATAATAATGAACTTTAACGTTTATTTATTCTTTAAATTGTTTGTTCTTAATTTTAAATAAAATATTTTAATGAAGAAAACTTATTTATATCAGTTATCTGACATCAAGGAGTAGGTTTTTCATTTATATTTTATTTTTAAAATTCAGTTTCAATAAACTGCATTATATATATATATATATATATATATATATATATATACTATATATATATATATATATATATATATATATATATATATATGTAAAGAAAAAAATTATTTTAAAGCTCTTTCAATTTACAATTTTATTGCAAAATATGAAACAGAATTATTGTGTTTCATGTGTTATTTAACTGGTTTTTGAAAACAGTACTTCATATTGATAATTTTATTTAAAAAAAATTGCCTTTGTCACAATATTTTTGTACATAACAATTAACATAATTTGCTTAAATATTTACTTAATATTAATTTCAGAAATTATTGATTGTAAGATTTCTGGATGCATTTATATAACAGTGGTAAGCCAATAATACAATTTTTTTGATAGTTATGAAGGAAAATGATTATAATTCTTGAAGTAAATAAATACATAAGTTTTCAGCTAGTTTTTACAAACTAAGTCATTATTTGAAATTTATAATTTCAATATTCTGTGCTGGTTGTTATTACATTGCAAAGTAGTGATTTTTGTTACAAAATATATATACATTTGTTACTTTATACACATATTCTTACATAGATCATTTAAGAAATATAGCTGTACTTCATCTTTATATCAATTTTTTTCAGTTTGAAAAATACTTGTATTTGAAGCAGCAATAAGTAGTATTGTTGAGGTTCAAAATTAATCTTTACAATTTAAATCAATTTTACAATTATCGTTTATCTTAAAATAAAAAAGTTCATTAATTATAACAAAATGGAAAAACCCAGAAAAAGTATTTGAGTCTGTGGATAAGTAACATCTCCAATTACTTTATAATTTTAAATAAGAAATTAATGGTATCCCTTCTGTGTGTGAATTTTATTCAAATCTTATTTTAGGAACGAATGGAAAACACACAGTTCGTTAAAATTAATTGTTGATATATATATATATATATATATATAATATCAACTGACAATTATTTAATAGCACTTCATTATTTTTAATTAATGAATTTATATATTTAATGAAATATATATATATTAGCTTAAAATCAAGAAAATTTAAAACCATAATATCGTTTTATTTTTGACCAGCTCAAAATTAATTTTAAAATTTATATTAGAAAAATTTGTTATGAGAATATCAGTTTAGTTCTACTGATTGCAAAATATTTGAAATGGCCAAATTGGAAAAAAGATGGCATATTGAAAAGTGAGTGTTACTTATGTTTTTTAAAAGAGAACAAGGTGGTGGATTTGAAAGGTAAATTTTAAAAAAAGAAACACGATACACAGTTATTTTTAAAAAAAATATAGCTATTTGAATAAGAGAACGCTGACTTAACATTGACATAATTTGGAAAATTGTTAAGTGGTGTACAAGATTAAAAATTATTGGACACAGATTGAAAAAATTGCTGACTCTGGTGGCTTAAAGTAGCCGAGTGGTATAGGTATCGGATCGTGGCTTGCCTTGTCACGAGTTCGAGCCCGGTACCACTAAGACCCACCGTGTAGGGCAGCGATGCACGTTAAATCTGTCGAGAGCTGAAACGTCCACCCGTTGGTGTGGTGTGGTAGTTAGGAGAGGGGGTGCCAGCTCAGGTGTCGTCCACGTCACTTGACCATGGTTCAAAATTATGTGGTCCGTCGCCAAAAGCCCTCGTGTAGCTGAACAGTGCGACTTCAATAATCAATCAATCAACCGGTGGCTTAAAGGTAGCGTACCCGTTTTGTAAGCCTAAGGTTGCGGGTTCGATCCAGGCTGGATGCGAAAATCGTAGGCAGGCATGCATGTTATATGATTATGTGACATGCAAAAGATCAAATAGGGGTATCAATTTGCCTGTGTGGTACTCTCGGCAAAATTAAATCGCGGCAACACTTAACATTTGACTAGATCTTGAATTAAAATTAATTCTTGCGTCAAAATTTGGTTGCAAGAGCTATCATTAGTTGGTAGCAACATGAAATAGGTCTCCCATTTGGGGACTTGCCGTGTCTGCAAGGGGCTAAAAGTTGTTATACAGCCCTATAGGGAAAAAAAGATTGAAAAGTTCATTTGAAAATATAACTCGATAATAACTTACAAAGAAAATTTAATAAATGAGGGTCTATATACATTCATGTTTCTTTACGATGTAAATGTTAATTTGAGGAATCAGGGAAGTAGCTTAAATTATTTATCACAAAATAGCATTTAAAAAATTCGAAGTAAAAAATATCTATTTTAAGGCTAAAATGTAAAAATAATGAGAAAAGTAGATATTTATTTATAGTCGAGCGATATGCACAGATTTATGGTCTTTGAATTCCAACTCTTTAAAAAATCAAATAAATTTATAAGAAGTAAGTAATTGAAAAAAATATACTGTTTTTTTAAAAATACACTGCTGGCCACCGTAAATGCAACACCCAGAAGGAAGCATGCAAATAACATGAAATTTACAATCTGCATTAGCGGAGGTGAGGTATGCAAATGATTAGAATTTCAGCGCAGACACACATCACGCGCGCCTGTGGCGCCACCTCAAAGCAATATTTAAGGCTTGCAGATTTCGACCATTTCAAGATCGGCAATTGTGTTTTTCTTGTGGTTTTTTCAAAAAACGATCAGTTATGTCTCGTAGAAAACAGCGATCAGCTTTTGATCAAGTACCCAAGTTCGACAGAGGAATGATAGTGGCCTACCGAAATTGTGGATTATCTTTCAGGAAAATCGGTAGTCGTGTTGGACGAAACCAAACAATTGTAATGCGGATATGTGACCATTGGACGCAGGAGGGTACGACAGACTGACGTGGTCAGTCACATCCACCTCAGTGCACCACTTCACGTGAGGACAGGCAAATTGTGCGCATGGCAGTGACGGATCACTCAGTCACATCAGGAACCATAGCACAACACATTGAGTCTTTAACGCATCATTCAGTGTCTGCGCGTACCATTCGACACCGTTTACAGCAGAGTGGTCTGTCCACAAGACGTCCATTGCTTGGTCTACCCTTGACGCAGAACCACAGACGTCTTCGCCGCCAATGGTGCGATAAAAGAAGGATGTGGGTGGCAGAATGAAATGAAGTTGTCTTTACTGACGAGTCACGCATTTGTCTGCAACACCACGATGGTCGGATTCGAGTCTGGAGACACCGTGGAGAGAGGATGCTGAACAGCTACGTTATGCACCTCCACATTGGTCCTGCACCGGATATTATGGTATGGGGTGGTATTGGATATCACTCTCGTGCACTCCTCTAGTACGCATTGCCGGTACTTTAAAGAGCTCGGGCTACATCTCCGAGGTGTGGGAGTCAGTTGTCCTTCCTTACCTTCAGGGCTTGGCCACAGCCCCATTTCAACAGGATAATGCGCGACCACACGTGGCACGCATTGTCCAAGGGTTCTTTGTCAATCACCAGATTGAATTGCTTCCCTGGCCGGCTCGTTCTCCGGATCTTTCTCCGATAGAAAACATTGGTCCATGGTTGCTCAACGATTGACCCAGATTACACCCCAGCTGCCACATCAGATCAACTTTGGCAACGTGTGGAAGCTGCTTGGTCTGCTGTACCCCAAGAACACATCAAAAGTCTCTTTGAATCAATGCCGAGGCAGCGGTGATCTCCAACAACGGCTACTCTGGCTACTTATTTTGGCAGGAACCACACTTCACAGAAGTTTATAAATTTAATTATTTGATACTTGGTCAACATGTTATCTACAAAATAAATTTTGTTGTGCTATCTCTTTGTCTTTCTTGGTGTTGCATTTACGGTGACCAGCAGTGTAATTATGTCATGAAAAGTATTTCAAAAATGTAAAATAGGAATGTTACTTACGTAAATACCAAATGAATAGAATTATAAAGAACTACAATATTAACTAAAGGCAGTTCCACTTAAAAAATAACAAAAAAACCCAATAAAATGTAAATTTGAAATTAAATCCCTTTTTATAAGTAAAAAGAGTTTAAACACGATAGCTTTAATTATAAAATAATACTTCATTTTGGACAATACAAGCATATTTTTATAACATATGATTGAAAAATTATTGAACTGAAATTCGTAAGCAAATGTTTTGATGCATTGTGTGTTATGTATTTGTTTTGCATGTTATTTTAATTTCATTCTCTTTTTCATTCTCTTTCTTACGTTCAGTACAATGCTTTTAATTGAATTACAAATGTCTAGAAGAAACACAAAAAGCAATCCAATATACTAAATATTATCAAATTATCAATTCTTATCGTATAATTACT